ATAACTGAAGTAAATTCGAAATAGATTAAAACTTCTAAATAAAAACTCAGTAACTTAGATTTTTCATCATTATACATCAGCAAATTTTAAAACTATAATATTGAGTAGGATTTACGACAGATGCAGATTAAATTGAATGATTTTAATAAAGATCGAACTAGTGCGATTTCATAAAGAAATTTGCTATCTTTCAAAAAGCATCTAATATACTCAGTTTATTCCAGACTTAATAGAAAAATCATCAAAACCGGCCCAATATTTTCTAATGTAGCTTAATCAAAAAAATTTAAATAAGTTTTGGATATTTCAAATTATTTCGAAATACTTCAAATATTTTTAATTTTTAATTAAGCTATATTAGAAAATATTGGGCTGATTTTGATGTTTTAAATTACATTATGAATAGAATAATTTGATTTAAGTGGCTTCTTATTGAACGTTTGCAAATTTATTAATTAATTTGTACTAATTCGCCCTTTAGTTCAAATCATTCGCAATATTCCATCTATCTTAAATCTTACTTATTATTATGTTTTTAAAATTTGCTGATGTATTCTATATTATTTATTTTAATAAAATCACAACATTTTGCACATTTTTAAAATCATTCATATTACAGGTTTTGTAAACCAAGTTCATACAAACAGACAATCAAATTCGTACAAGCAGAAAGTCAAATTCGTACAAGCAGACAGTCAAATTCATACAAGCAGAAAGTCAAATTCATACAAGCAGAAAGTCAAATTCATACAAGCAGGAAGGCAAATTCGTACAAGCAGACAGTCAAATTCGTACTATTATAAATTAGGTACATATGAATATACATATCTATGTATATACATACATACTTTTGAAATCAATTTTTTAATTTTTGAGAAAACTTTGACTCGAAAATAATAGTTTATTATTTTCGGTTTAAGGTTTTTTCTTGCTAGCACTCATATATATCCAAATATATTTTATTATTTTATTTGTTATGTAATTTATATTATCTAAGAAGATTTAGTAGCTTTGTAAAATTACAAATTTTATAATAATAGGTTTATAGTATCACAGATTAATTAGTGTCAGGTGCCCCAACCCAAATAGTAAGCATAAACAACTTCTTATTGAAAAATAGGTAAGGATCACTTTATTTAGTTTAATCAATTACTTGAGAAAAAAGCTACTACACTTTATTTATTCTTGTTTTACTTATATGAGTGCTGCCAAGGAAAAAAGACCATTTAGACCTTCAATATATTTTGTGTACAGTTAGTCTTCTATTTAAATTTATCATCATTATAGATTTTCTATAGAATATTAACTAAACACAAGATACATTAAAAGTTTGAACAATCTTTTTCTCTTGGCAGCACTTATGTATATATTTTGGCTCTTCTATTACATTATTAGTTAATCACGCCATACTATACTCTTAAACTGATTATTATATACTTTTTAGAGAAATTTACAGATAAGAAAAATAATGGCCCAAAATGAAAATAATTACAGATAGAGACCTGATATTTTGAAAATTATGACAAATAAGGGCCCAAAATAATAATGCGCTTAAGAACCTATGATTTAAGCCCTATTTCAATGATTTGAATATGATTTCATATAATCATTAATTATTAACGTATAAGAAATGTAATAATAATCTATTAGTAATTCAAATATTCCAATACACAATAAAAAAATGTAGATTCGATTAGTCAATTCATTATTTGCATTGTAAATTTATTTCATTGAAATTCTTGATATATTTCTTAAAAAACCTGCTTATAACAAATACCATGTCAAATACAAAATTACTGATTAGTATGATTTTTACTAACATAAAAATGTCTATTCAGCCATGGACAGTTATTCTGTCAAATTCTCTTTATAAGTTCAGAACGAACAAATAAAATAGGTTGTTGGCTATTTGTTTTACAAAGGAAACCAGTTCATACCCTTTTACTATTTTAGCTAACAAGCGCAAAGATGGCTATATTCATATAGTAAGGCTGATTTCCCCTGATCCAACTTGTTTAACCTCTATAGAATCATTCAAAGCATGTGGATTTCGCCTTGTAAAGTTTACTGTGCCATTAGTTAAAGATACTTCAACTTCGTGATATTATAAATCGTGTTCGTTATGAAGTGGGGCCAAGACTTCATATATGATAGTTTGAAGAAAGCAATTAAACCACACAAAGTTAATTTTTCATTTTGCATCACCTGATTTCAAAAATCTGGTCATTTGGTTAAGAGTTTTTTTTTAATTCTAAATAATGAATAATAACTCTAAAACATCTATTTAATTATGAAATAAGGTAATTAATCATGATACCATTATGTTTAAGCCAGTTAGCAATCTTAACGGTATATTTGAGCTCTTATTCGTAATAATTTTCAAATATTGGGCCTTTATTTATAATTATTTTCATTTTGGGCCCTTATTTGTAATTATTTTTATTTTGGAGCCCTTATCTGTAATTCCCCTACATTTATATAAATTACAATTATATTTCACTATAATATCTCATACCAATGATCCCTGCATAATAAATTACTGAATTTTCTAATCAATTATCATGTGTATCATGTATATATATGTTCATTTCGACTCTTTCTTAATTAAAAATAAGTATAATAAATAAGTACAATATTCTCTTACACACTAAGTATATTGCATACAATTCTTTATCATTACAATAGCGATAATTTATTTTTTTTATTGTTAAATTAATTTTTTTCACTTTTATTTATAAAATTTATATTATTTAACTAAAATTGGTTTATATTTTTTGGCAGATTTGGTTAAATTATGGGGAATTTACAGATAAGGGCTCAAAAACAAAAATAATTACAACTAAGAGACCAAAATGAAAATAATTATAAATAGAGACCTGAATTTTGAAAATTATTACAAATAAAGGCCTGTTTCTATGATTTGAATATAATTGTAATAGTTGACGCATAAGAAATGTAATAACAAACACCATGTCATAAAATTACAGATCGGTATGACTTTTACTAACATAAAAATGTTTATTCCGCTTTAGAAAGTTATTCTGCTGAATTTTCTTTTTCTTATATGTAAGTTTAGAACGAACAAACAAAATAAGCTGTTGGTTATTTGTTTTCTAACTGAAACCAATTCATGTCCTTTTAATATTTCAGCTAACAAGCGCAAAGATAGCTACATTCTTATAGTAGGGCTGAATCCTCATAACTCAAATTGTTTGACTTCTATAGAAGTATTTAATACACGTTGATCATACCTTGTAAAGTTTACTATGCCATTAGTTAAAGATATAATTGTACTTCGACCTCGTGATATTATAATCTTGTTCATTCTGAAGTGGGGGCTGAGACAAGATAGAGCTTGTAGAAGTAAAGGTATTAGGCCACAAAGTTAATTTTTCGTTTTGCATTGCAGTTTTCAAAAATCCGGTAAGTCAGTTGGATTTTTTTTTAATTTGGAATAATGAGCTATAACTCTAAAACACAAAATGAGGCAATTAATTATCATACCTTAAATCGGCTAACAATTTTGAGTCCCTTATTTGTAATAATTTTTAAATATTTGTCCTTTATCTGTAGTTATTTTTATTTTGGGTCCTTATTTGTAATTATTTTCGTTTTTCGGCCCTTATCTGTAAATTCTCCTTAAATTATTGATTTTAACATGATTTATATATAGGATATATGTAGTATATATCGAATAGCAATTTAACAATTTATATAAATACTGTAATGATTAGAATAGTTGAAAATTAAGATAGAAAAGATATATACGTAAATAGTTTGTAGTATTATGAGTTCAAATTAGTAGTATGATCTGAATAAATTTGATATTTATGATATAATTTTTATAATTTTAAAAATGTATAGGATACTTGGACTTATATTATACGGAAATAATAAACTATTACATAATTATTATTTATAACAAATAGTTAAGATGTTTTATATAAATATAAAATTGTTTTTTACATATTTGTTCTAATAATGTCTCAACCAAATAAAAAAAGAAAGTCTAAATATCAAAAAATCACTTTACAAATAAAAAAAAAAATTATAGATGATATTAATAATAAATGTTTACCAATTCAGAAAGTTGCAACTAATTTTCAATTAGCTGCCTCAACTGTTCAAAGTATTGTTGATGTTTTTGATAGAGAAAATCGAATTGCTTCTAAACCACGAGGTGGTGACAAAAGATCTATTTTAAATGAACAATATAAAGAATTTTTAGATAATATGATTGAAGAGGAACCATGAATTTCTATTTCAGATCTAAAACAAAAATTAGTAGATCGATTTCTAAATATTCAGGTACACAGCATAATTTAAATTTTGAAATTAACTTTTTAAAGAAATTTAATATATATTTATATATATTTATAGATATATGAAAGAACTGTTGCACGATATGTAACAAATCTAGGTTTTACTTTAAAACGGCTTACAGTTATACCAGAAGGCCATAATACTCCTGAAACAATTCAAAAAAGGAAAGATTATATACAAAAAATCTATAATGAAAATATTAATATTTATAGTAATATAGTCTATATCGACGAAACTGGCTTTAATTTACATCTTTTCAAATCAAGAGGTCGTGCACACCGTGGTCAACCTGCTATTCGTAAAGTTGAAAGTAACAGAAGAAAAAATATCTTTGTTATTGCTGCAATTAATAAAAATGGAGTCTTGTATTATAAATCTATTTTGGGTTCAGTAAATTCAGAAATTTATGCTACTTTTATTTATGAGCTTATTAATATTATTCCAAATGGTAAATTTTTAGCAATGGATAATATTGCTTTTCATAGATCAAATATAGTCAAAAGTGCTATTGCAAATACTACACATAAATTTTTATATTTGCCTCCTTATTCTCCTTTTTTAAACCTAATTGAGAATTGGTTTTCAAAAGTTAAAGATTCTGTTGCCAGAAATCGGTTAAGAGATCGAGAAACAATTTTAAATAGGATGAACAATGCATTTAATAATGTTACAGAAGAAGATTGTGAAGGGTGGATCAGGCATACTTCTTCATACTTTCAACGTTGTTTAAATAGTGAAATTATCAATGTATAATTAATTACAATATAACGAATTTTTTTAAAATATTGCTAAAAAATGAATCACAATAGTATATCATCTAAACAATAAATCTAACACTAATAATCATTATATAATAAAATTGGAACTAAAAAAATAAATGTATATATTACTGTATTATCAAGAATTTATAGAGACGGGTAACACTGAAAGAACATATAATACTGGATATTGTTATCATTATGGAATTGGAATTTAAGGCATTCATTTATTGTCAAAAAGGTGCTACTGATGGAACATATAATGCTGGATATTGTTATCATCACAGAACTTGAGTTGAAAAGAACCAATATAGAGCATTCATTTATTATCAAAAATCTGAAGATGGGAGCTACTAATAGAATATATAATACCGGGTATTGTTATTATCATAGAATTGGAGTTTAAGACATTCATTTATTGTCGAAAATTTGAAGATGAGTGCTGCTGATGCCGGATATTGTTATCATCATAGAACTTGAGTTGAAAAGGATGAATATAGGATATTTATTTATTATCGAAATCTGAATATAGGTGCTACTGATGGAACATATAATACTGGATAAAAAGAATGAAAAATGGGTGTTGCTGATGAACATATAATGCCGGTGTTGTTATCATCATAGAATTAGACTTGAAAAGGACGAATGCAAGGCTTGAATTTATTATCAAAAATCTATAGAGGTGGGTAACGCTGATAGGAATGCCGAATATTGTTAAGGTTGACATAGAATAGAGCCTTCGTTTA